CACCTCCGGGGCAGGCGGGAATCGAACTCATGCGGAAGTGGCTTTAGCTTCTCAGTGCTGTGCTTTAACCCGCTGCGCCACCAGGGAGGACCTGGGTTGGGATTTTATCAGTCAGAACTCGGGGTTCAAAAGCATAAGAGATTCATCTGTGTTCTGTGTTACCTGTTTTATGTTCTGTTTTCCCCTGCGAATGTTGCCTACAAAAATGAGACACAATTGCTGGCAACATTTATAGGAGAAAACAGATTGTGCCTCATTTTTTAGGATGGCGATACCGAGAGTGAACCATATGATGATGAAGAGTTTGAAGGTTATGAAGACAAGCCAGATACTTCTTCTAGCAAAAATAAAGATCCAATAACAATTGTTGATGTAGGTATACAAGATTCTGAGTTCCAAAATAACCAACAAATTATATTGCTGTCATTAATCCCAGAATAATCAGCATAAGTGACATACAGCTGGCATTGCTGTGACAGTGGGAAATGCTTTGATAATTATCTATAATGTTGACTTCTGTTTTTGAGTCTTCTCGTTTTCTTCAGTTTTCTTCAGTTCGACTCCATCCTTCAGTCTCAGCCAACATTAAATGGAATGATTATTCTTCTTTAGGTGCCTGCACACCTCCAGAACAGTTGGGAGAGTTATTATCTAGAAATTTTGATGGTAACTGGTCTGCTTGCCTACATCATGAATTATATCATTGGAAAGAATAAAAACAGTCGCCTTGCTCAGGCCTGGTTTAACACTCACAGAGAGCTTTTGGAGAGCAACTTCACCTTAGTAGGTAAGTCAGACCAAGCAAGTCCAGTTAGGCTGCCTGCATGGAAACATCCTTGTAAGAATTGTTAATTTCACTCAGTATGAAGTCTAACTACTTTCATGGACTGCTGAAGAGGCTGCTTTGTTATTTTTCTCTCATGGATCTCATTTTTGTTAGGCTTTTTATACTGAATAAATTGCACTTGGAAGTAACTTCTTAAGCGTTCATTAATCAGCAGTTGGTAAACTGCTTCTGATTAGAACAAAATGATGTTATCAAAGCAGGTTGATAACAGTCTGGCAAAACAGCAAGGAATGGTGACATTTTAGGTGTCTTGATAAATGCTATCAGTTCATCTTTTAGAAATTGGAAATTTTTCAGATTTCCCTGAAGTTGTGAGCACTTTTGATTAGGATACGCTGGAGAGGTTAGCAATGAAGTACTAGGAGAGCCTCCTCCACAAAGCCTGCATAGTTTGGAGAATAAGGTGGACTCCTCAACGTCCCCTTTTTACATTTATCATTTTCCTTCACAGTAATGATAAGCAAGTATTTATTTATCTGCTTGACTTTTTAGCAGATTAACATTTATGTATTATGCTAGGTATTTGTTTTGCATTGTTTTCTTATTTAATCCTTACAACAACTCTGTTGAATAGTTTCTGTTTTCCTAAGGAGGGAATTGAAGTCCAGAAATGTTAAAATTTGTCTTAGCTATTGAATTGCAACAGCCACCAGCATTTTCAGTGAATCACGTTAAGTGGTTTTACCCCTAGGGGATGATGGCACTAATAAAGAAGCCACAAGCACAGGAAAACTAAACCAGGAGAATGAGCACATCTACAACCTGTGGTGTTCTGGCCGTGTGTGCTGTGAGGGGATGCTTATCCAGCTGAGGGTAAGTAGGGAACTGTTGGCAAAATGTATATCCTTCCATTTTTTCCATTTGTGATTCCAAATCTGCTAAGGCAATTGTCTCATCCTTTCATGTTCAGTGTAAAATGAGGTCTAAAAGTTATCTATTAATTAGCAAATGTAGAGTATAATTGACAAAGCATTCATTTCTTCCTCCAAACTTTATTTACAGTAAAAAGTTATTTTTTGTTTGTTTTTTCAGTTCCTCAAGAGACAGGACTTATTGAATGTCTTGGCCCGGATGATGAGGCCAGTGAGTGATCAAGTGGTATGTATTCTTCCTGATGCTTCTTTTTCTACAGACTGAATTCTTAGAACATTTCATATCTTGCCTAGATTCTGTTTGAAATTTCTTGCAACCTATGTCTCTTGCCAAAAAATGGACCCTTTTTTAACTGCACAGATTATCATCTACTCATTGTACAAAGGGATGGGGGGTGTGTACTTTAAGGAGAGAAGGAGATAACTGGGTTAATCAGCTGAATTAGCCTGAACAGTTTAGGGGGAGGGGAGAGAAGGAGAGAGCGGTTGTCACAGGTAGTTTGCCCTGACACCCAGTTCTGCTTCATGCATGCTTTTATCTTTGGCAGTAGGCTGGATTTCTCCTCAACTAATACATCTTAGACTGAAAGAGCTCAGCTCACAATCGGGGGACCTTACTGTTTGATATGCCTTCTTTTACTAAATTAACTTGTTAGTCTACAAATCATATCCATCAGAAATGCCACATTTTCCTTCCCTATATCTTTTCAAACAATAGTTGGTGCCAGCTCCCACTGCTGTAAGATACAAAAATACACATGAGAGATGTCTGCACAAATGGCAAAATGTACATTCATATTTGGCTAGTAAGTGATGTTAGTATAGAGTTAGGCACTTTGAGTTGGGTTGACATTGTTATTCTGTCAATGGCCTCATTTGTAGTTTTAATTTTTCTCATGACCACTGATGACTGGGGTCACTGAGGTGGGGGAGGAGGAGCAGTGAGAGGATTCATCAGAGGCAGAATGGGAAACAACAGTCAGATCTGCTGAAATACACTGCTGAGGGGAGTATCAGATGAGACAGGAGAGGTCTACTGTGCCATGTGGGTCAGCTCCCTGCCTAGGGATCAAACTCATATTGCAGTGGCTGCTGATAGCTTCATAGGACTGAGACTTAACCCCTTCTGCTGCCAGGGAGGCCCCTGACGACTTAAGTTGTTTTTTTATATATATAATAGTTTATTTTTATATCATTTTGTGCCTTTTTCCATCTCAGTTGTAATCCCCACGGGCTTCCCATCACCAAATCACCATGTGCCATTACAGTAGTCCAGTGAACTTCCCTCCCCTCGCCATTTTTGATCCACCCCTGTAAAATGTGATGACTTAATTTTTAAGAGTCTCTTTACTTAAGATTCCTGTCATCCTTTCTCCTACCAGACTTAATTAAAAAAGGAGGAAGTTTTGCTTAATCATTTTCATTATTTTCCTGAAGTAGATTTAATCTTCTCTTTTCTACTGGGCTGTCTTACTAGGTCTTTGCTATAGTTCTCTACATTAACATTTCCCTTCTTCCAGATACCAGTAATTTTTTGACTTGGACATTTTAAGATAGAATTATTACAGCAGAGAGGGGCCATGCTATAGCGCAGCAGACCCATTAGGCTTTCTACTTTACCTCTGGTCCCATGAGAGTAGTACAAACTTTACTGGGGTGTTTAGTTTCCCAACACCAACAACCAATTCTCTGATTCTCAAATACCAACAATTCATTTCAGTTCTGGCACCTCTACCAACAGTCAGAGCCAGATCCTCCAAGTTAAAGGACTTATTCTGACTAAATCCTTCAGATGATTGTTAACAAGTTTCAGGACACAGTACTTCTGAGTGACCAACTAAATAAGAGTTGCCACAGCCCTTCCCACAGGTTCAGTAACATGTTAGAGAACTCAGGAAAGCACTTCATTTACATTGATTGGTGGTTTATTACAGAGGATTCAATTCAGGAACAGCTAAGTGGAAGAGACTTGGGGAAAGGTATGGGGGTGGGTTTGCACAGTTTCCATGCCCTTTTCGGGTGCACTACACTCCCAGCCAAAGAGTTTAGGATAGTCTACTTAAGATCATTCAAATTGTAGACAGAGTACAATTTCTTAAGATTGTAAGTTCCCATTTTTTAAAATTGTCTTCTAGGAACCTTTCTCAGCTCATAGGGGCCACCTTCAGGTCTCGCTGTGTGTCTCACACCGCCAACAACCTTATCACTACCACCGCGTATTCCTTTCAAGTACATTGCATTTTGAAAACTTGCTTGATTTGGTCATTCTACCCGAAATTGTGACCCTTTTTATTAACTTAGAGCCAACTGATTAGGAGCCTTCCACCATGCAACATGATATCACTGTGGATGTGATCTCCCCATTATTTTCAAAGTCCCACTGTGCAGAGGGAGGTTGTATACACTAATGCACCAGGGCACAGGAATTGTGGAGTCATGTGGGAAATCTGTTTATCACAGAACATAATAGGTATGTTTTATTGTTTTTAAAGCAAATAAAAGTAACCATGAATGATGAAGACATGGACACGTATGTGTTTGCTGTTGGCACTCGGAAAGCCTTGGTGCGACTACAGAAAGAGATGCAGGATCTGGTATGTCCTTTAACTCAGATATGTGTAGAAACTATTGCTCTTTATAGCACTGGGATCTTAAGTACCACTTTGAAAAAAAGTGTGCATAATAAAATTTCATGTCTTACTTTAATTATTTCTTCTAGAGTGAGTTTTGTAGTGACAAACCTAAGTCTGGTGCAAAGTATGGACTGCCGGACTCCTTGGCCATCCTGTCAGAAATGGGAGAAGTCACAGAGGGAATGATGGATACAAAGGTAAATGTAATAGTAGGCATATGCATGCACAGATCTCGATTGTATAGGGCACTTGCTAAAAACCACACAATTTCTTCATCTTATAACAGTGCGCTGTTTACATATTCCTTACCCACACAAGCATTAAAACACCAACTCTAAGCTATAGATGAACTTATTAAAAAGGCACCTGAATTAGTCAGGATTTCTCAAAATCAAAAGCAAGTAGTTCCTAGGATTGCTGTTGGCTTTCAGGTCTTTATGATAAAGAAATACAGCTTTTAATCCTTATGTCATGGAGTCCACTTTTTGAGCTTTAATTAATGCATAAGGAAAAAGGATATGTTATAGAGAGCTATTTTGTGTTTTTTTGTTTGTTTGTTTTTTGTTTTTTTGCTATTGATTGTGTAGTAGAAAGTTTAGTATCAAAAATATAAATAAGGACCCTCCCTGGTGGCACAGCAGGTTAAAACACAGCATTAAGAAGCTAAAGCCACTTCAGCACAAGTTCGATCCCTGGCCCCGGAGGTGACCCACATAGTGCAACAGACCTCTCCTGACCCGCCCTCTGCTCTCCTCAGCAGTACTTCATCAATTGGCCTATTCTGCTCCCCACTCTGTCTCTGGTGTAGCCTCTCACCACCCCTGCACCTCTGACCTGTACCCCAGTTCTGTATGCATAAATAAATAAATCTTTAAAATAAATAAATAAATAAATAAATAAAAGTCAGTTCAGCATACAAGTCAGAGTGATATGTTTATAAAGGGCTCCAAGAAATTATTTTAGAATTTTTTTCTTTGCTTTCATTCATTTTTAGAGTATTGTTTTGAGACATATTTTCAACTGTTCAGTAAAAATAAATGTAACCAGGGCAGTCCCTGGTGGCATAACAGGTTAAAGCACAGCACTGCAAGCTAGCCACAATGGCTTTGGTGCGAATTCTATCCCCAGCCCTGGAAGTAACCCACCGGACACAGCAGACTTCTCCTGTCTCACCTGCTGCTCCCCTCAGCAGTGTTCTTGGTTGATTAAATAAATAAATAAATGTAATCATTGGTGTTACTAAAAGGTATTAGTTTTCATTGCATAATGATTCCTTATTTAAATTTAATTTTAAAAAAAGCTTTAATCATAATGACATTGTAAAAAGTAAAAGAGGGCAAAAAGGTGACTGTCTTTATCAAAAAAAAGGAAATGTATCAAGCTATCAGATCCTTCTTTGTTAAAAAAAGCCATTTTCTTTTTTTTATTTCAGATGATTCACTTTCTAACACACTATGCTGACAAGATTGAATCTGTTCATTTTTCAGACCAGTTCTCTGGTCCAAAAATTATGCAAGAGTACGTATGAGATAAAATATTGAATTTAATTTTCCTCACAAGCTTTCTGTTTTGAAACACCTGCAAGATACTTCTGCAATTTCCCTTACTCAGTGAGTAAGGGAAGTTGGTGACAAGCAAGCAAGTGTTCCCTTGTCTGACTGCATGCATCAGGAAGGTGACTGAAGCAAGCCTCCCAGCTTGTGTCACTGCATGTAACTGCCGCTCACTCAGTGAGATGGATGAGAACCTACAGCATAGCTAATTCTAAGAAAATGTAGTCTAGGTTTTGTTTTTTCTTTAAAATTTTTATTTGGTTATGTTAGACTTGTGTTTAATTGTATATATTTGTATTTTGTAATTCATGACTACTTCTGAATTTTTTCTTTGAGTAGTTGGTGGTTAGATTTTTTTCCCCAGTGTATTATCAGAAGACCTTGATTTCCATTAGAGATACTGGTTTTGTAGTAATAGTGTTCAAGTGTGTACAAAATAAGGGCTTGAATTTGTTATTTGGATTCATATCTTGTCTCAAGAGAGCTTATTTAAGTTTATTCCTGGTGTGGAACTAATTGTGACCTGAATTTTTGGTTATAAGCTATGGAATTGAGTACAGTTAAGAGCCAGTCAGGATTCTGGCTATGTGTTATGCTTACTCAAGTCCTCTAGATAGTTTGCATCATCTTTGCAGTTGCTCAACTTAGTGATACTATTGGGGACAAAGTATCACACTGTAGCATTCACGGGCCTTGTGCGAGGGCAGTGGCCAGGGGCTAGTAGTCAGGGTTACAAAGGAACCCTTGGAGCCTGTCAGGACTAAATTATATTGTTACAGTAGATTATTTCTAAATTTATTCTGAGCCTGACTAAAAAATAGATTACTTCATTAGAGAAAGATAGGCATTGGAAGTAAAACATAAAAATCCATCAAAATTAGCAAAAATATTCTTATTGATGAGGACCCCTATTTAAATATAGGCTCGTTTCTGGTTTCCCAGGTGAGATGAAATATATACTGTCTGGATGTCATTGGAGGTATCCACATATGGGATACAAATTGTTGGAAGTCATCCATCAGATAGACACGTAGACCAGATGCCCGATTGTGCTCCTGTAGGCGCTGAAAATGTGCTTGACTTGAGGACACCAGTTCAGTGCTGTGCTGATTATTTGTTCATCTCAGTGAATTGGACTTGTATGCCTGGGAAATATCTTTTTCTTGTTGATTTTTTTTTAAATATACTTTTCTTTTTATGACAGGGAAGGTCAGCCTTTAAAACTACCTGACACTAAGAGGACACTATTGTTTACATTTAATGGTAAGTGTTCATAGGTCCTGTATGGGTTATTCTTACTCTGTTAGGTGATCATAGGAAAAGACTGTCTCTCCTAGCTATGAAAAAGTAAATTAAAACTAATTCCATACCCATATAAGTTTGGGGTTTCTTCAACTATAACTTAATTTCTGTCCTCTGCTGTATCTTAACTGCCTAAAAAACAGACAAAGGTGTCTAGTAACACTAAAAGAAAAGGAATTGGGTGATCCAGAAGTATTAGTGCTCCCATAACTCAATAGGAAATGGCTTCATTTTCCAGTGCCTGGCTCAGGTAACACTTACCCAAAGGATATGGAGGCTTTGCTACCCTTGATGAACATGGTGATTTACTCAATTGATAAGGCCAAAAAGTTCCGACTCAACAGAGAAGTAAGACCTGCAAATTTTATCATTAATTGGCACCTTCCATTGTTTTCTCATTGCACGGGAGTGGCGGTCAGTGCTTTCGGTGATTGTTTCTTTGCTAGTAGAGTTGAAATGCTAAATGAGGGTCATTTTTTGAGAGGGCATTGGATAAAATATTGCTTTTGTTGGCTAGAAATATATTTCTTATAAAATACTGTTTCTTGGGAAAAGGGCAAACAAAAAGCAGATAAGAACCGTGCTCGAGTGGAAGAGAATTTCTTGAAGCTGACACATGTGCAAAGACAGGAAGCTGCTCAGTCTCGGCGTGAGGAGAAGAAAAGAGCAGAGAAGGAACGAATCATGAATGAGGAAGATCCTGAAAAACAGCGCAGGCTGGAGGCAAGTTTACTGGTGTAAATATAAGATTGATAAGGGTGCCTATTTGTGCCATCTTACCTACTAAGGAATTCTGTAGGAATGTACACAAAATAAAGTTTAAGCATTTTCTCAGATATTTTATTAGTTGATAACTTGATAAAGAAGAGTTCTTGGTTCAAACCATGTCAGGTTGAGCCTATGAACCAGGAGAATGATGTAAATTATACTGTTCAGCAGCACTATCCCATTTTAAAGTTCTACCACCAGCTTTAAGCAAAAACAATGAGGTAGAACAAAATTAGGACCTTTTTCTTTTTTAAAGATTTATTTCTGCATACCAGAACTGGGTTACAAGCCAGAGGTGTGTGTTTGGTGGGGGGGGCGGGGGAGTGACTCACCAGAGACAGAGTGGGGAACAGAAGCAGAATAGAGCCACTGAAATATACTGTTGAGGGGAGCAGTGAGTGAGACAAGTCTGCTGCACCATGTGGGTCAGCTCCCTGGCTGGGGATCAAATTCATGCTGCAGTGACTGCAGATAGTTTCACAGAGCTGCATGTTAACCCGTGTGTTAACATGCAGAGGGGGGCCCAGAAATTAGGACTTTTAACCAACTGGTTAAATAGAGAACTACATGTGTTCTGTAGTCAGAATACTCTTGTTCTATAAATTTTTTGATGTGATTACTGAATTAGAGAATTCTGTGATTTTTTTAAAATTTTATTTTAGGTTTTTTTCTTTTTACATTTAATTCAGGTCTTCAACATGAATATGTTCTAACATTGTTGTGAGATAAAATGCCATAACCTACCTCTAAAATTTTAAACCTTATGAATGCTACTCAAAATAAGAGAGTAAAATTCTAGAAAATAATTAATTTTGATGAGAATACTTTTGAAGAAAATTCTTAGTGGAAGAGGCAGGCTGTCAGGAATAAGTAAAGAGCTGTATGGAACTTCCATTACCAGTGAATCATTAACACTATTGAGTGACATGCAGGATATCAGAATCCTGCTCCCGGGCATCTTCTCCTATCTCATAATCTGTTTGATTTGGTTCGGTTTCGTGGTACATATTTTTCCCCTGAAAATATAGCTCTGTGTTGATGCAACCTTCTTTACAAATAACAATGGCTTTTTAATGAATACATTGGAGATTCTACAAGGAATCATTAATAGGTAGTACCTTTTCATTTTCTATAAAGAAATTCTGTAGTTCTTTCTAGAGTTGAAACTACAATAGCATTAAGAAAAGGGGGCCCAGAATTTAACTTGAGTCAGAATGTAAGCTGCTTGCAGATGTCACAATTTTTTTTCTTTATGTTATCTGGGCATTTACTAGTATCTGTAGTATCTGGGTACTTTTTGAAAAACTCCAGTGATGGAAATGGGAAAGGAATAAAAATGTGTAGGCATTTTTGATTCAAATTACTTATTCATACAAATAATCTTAGACCTTTCTTCCAGTACTAGTATAATTTCATTTTCTTGTATATATATATATATATGTGTGTGTGTATATAATATATATATATAGAATTTGATATAGAGAAATATATACACAGAAATTAAAAGTAACTTTAATCCTGTCATATAAAAACAGTCTTTCAGATAACTGTCCCTAAAGTTAACCACTATTAGTGCTATGTATTTAGTTCCCAACTAACATGTATGTTTAGTGTACTTATTCTTTTTCTTAATGTAGATCACTGCATCTTATAATCAATGAATTTTTTTTTTTTAAAGATTTACTTATGCATACAGAACTGGGGTACAGGTCAGAGGTGCAGGAGCAGTGAGAGGATTCACCAGAGACAGAGTGGAAAGCAGAACAGGCAGATCATCAAAGTGCACTGCTGAGGGGAGCAGCAGGCGGGTCAGGAGAGGTCTGCTGGGCCATGTGGGTCCCCTCCAGGGCAGGGATCGAACCCGTGCTGCAGTGGCTTTAGCTTCTTAGTGCTGTGCTTTAACCCACTGTGCCACAAGGGAGGGCTCATCTTATAATCAATGTTATGCAATTTATGTATTAAAAATACAGCAGACTTTCAAGAAAATGTCTTTCCACATGTGCTCATTTTATTTCATAAAGAAAACAATCCTAGGAGAGTATCTGTCACTTACGTAAATTTAACCAGTGTGTGATATGAGAGCGCTTTACTAACATCTTTATGAAAACTACTTAAATTTTTTAAATGTATGATTCTAAGAGTGGGAAAATGGCATCTTTTTGTTTTGCATTTTGTGAATTATTGAAGATGAACATTTTTCACAAATTTATTGGCATTAACTTCATATGTTAACATAAATGGATTTATTGTTTTATCCACTACACTGTGTTCTGAGTATTTGTAGTGTATAACATGTAATGTAGGAAAGAATATAAAGATGAAGTAGAGTAGAGGGTGGGACAGTAGGAAGAGACTTTGGGACAGTATTTTGACTTTTATAAAGTGATCCTAAAAGAATTTACCTTTTGACATATATGCTGTTGCAGCTGCCAAAGAAGATGGGTTTGTTCCTGCCTTTGTGAGCCCAAACTTGGAATGCATTTCCCCATAAAAGCGGTGTTAACAATGATGGTTCATTCCCTCAGAATAACTACATAATAGCACAGCTTTGGATGAATAAACATTCAAGCTTAAATTGCTATACAGAGGGGTAGTTTTAGTTATCTAACGGAGTCTAACACAGTCAGTTACCAAACCACCAATTTTTAAATCACCCTTTGAAACCTAATTTCTTAAACTATCAAGGACTGTATATACTCTTTGTTTTACTTTCCCTTTTCCATAATGTCTCAGTTGTCCATCAGTTGAGTATTTTTCAGAGTACTTTTCAGAACGTTTCTATTCCGAACCTCCAAAAAATTCAGTTTGAAATTGCAGCTGAAATAATCTTTAGTCATATGTGACCATTAACAACCAACAATGAAATTATACTTTGAGTTAGCTGCTAACGCCACCCTCAGAACAGGTAATAATAAGCAGTGACTTTTGCTAATCAGATAATCTTGTTTCAAGCATCTCTCACTCTCTCTCTCTCTCCTGTATGACTTCTTACTTCATAAATAAAAAAGTTAAAAATTACCTTATAAGTTGAAGTAGTGTGCTCAGGTATAACTTCTATGCTAATAAGAATGTACAGTTAATAATCTTATTAATAACATCATCAGGTTTTTTTTTTTTTTAACTGAAATACAAATCTGTGGTAGATACATATAAATGGTAAGGTGAAAGTTGTACTGGTAGAGAAAAAAATTACACCTGTTTAAATGTAGTGCTTAGTTTCTAAGTTGATATTTTGGTTACCTTTGCTTCATTATTTCAAGTTACTTTTCATTTACCAGCATAAATATTAACAATTATCTTTATAACTATTTTCTGGCATGATATTTATGTTACAGGCCTGGGTTTTTCAGCAGTTTTGATTTTTTTTTTTTTAATGTGTGCTTAGCTCTTAGTTTGGATTTTCTCTTCCTCTGTCTACCTTACCTGTCTAGGAAGCTGCCCTGAGGCGTGAGCAAAAGAAATTGGAGAAGAAACAAATGAAAATGAAACAAATCAAAGTGAAAGCCATGTAAAGGACCCCAGAGAGCTGAGTCCTGATGCTGTCTGTGAGCTCTGCATTCACAGGCAACAGAAGAAATACCCGTGTGTTTCTCCTCTACTGATCAGACACTCCCAGTGCTAAGAAGCCCTCTCTTCCATCGTCTATTCTGGTTTTGATTTGGAATTTTATAGAGACTTTAGGGACTTTGGAAGGTTCTGTCTGGTTAATTTCTTCCAGATAATCAGATTATTTTTGATTCTTTTATGAAAGGAATAACGTGAAATCTATAGTTAAGAAATTTTTTTTTAATTATAATATGAATCATCAGTGCTTTTAGTGCTTTGATGTTTTAAGAAATATCATGACATTCATAGATATATAATTAAATTGTTGCTTTTTGTTTAAACTAGACTGTAGTTGAAATGGCTATGACGACTAACTCTAAACTGAGCTTCTACAAGTAACCCTTGGAATTGCACAATAAACATTGCTTGGTGGGTTTTTTTTTTTTTTTTTTTTTGGTGTGTGTCTACATCAAACTTGTGAAAAAGTAAATTTAGAACACTAAATGTGATATTGAAATGTCAGGGATTTAAAACATAATGTACTCATAAATGTTTTGTAGGTGGGAGGTACTGATGACAGTATTATAGGATATCTGTAGGCTTTAGGATACTTAACCTGTACATGGAAAATTCTAGGGCTAGGTAGTACAGGACCAGTTTTCTCCTATCTGATACCATGAGCTAATGACAATGTGAATGCTGTGTTTTAAGTGGTTGTTTGTTTTCTTGATTAACAAGTGCATGAAAAATTAATTGCTTCACCTGGATCAGATCAGTGGTCTATGTGAAGTCACAGATGTTTTCCTTCTTGGTTGCTGCAGCCTATTGGATGTTCATGGAGAAGCTCTAGTCTATGGCTGTGTCACTTTGCTTCTCCTCTGCTTTTATCTCTTCCACAGTTGAGGTTGGGTATATTCTTTTTTACAGAAATAGCCATGAACATGCGTAAAGTGAGCTTTCCCAAAGTATTGAGTTCTCTCTGCCTCTTGAGGAAGGAACTCTTGGGAGAGGCCCATCTGTCTGCACGAGCACTTAGCTTGTTCAGATCTCTGCATTTTATAAATGCTTCCTACTAAGAAAGCATTTTTTAAGTCACTGCTTGTACCAGGTAATTTTTGCTGGGAGTGGGAATGGGTTGGGTTTTGGTGGGAGAGGGGTGGGCAGTACTTTTTGTTGATGTTTAATGTGCAGGTGTGTTCTGAGGCAATAACAAGTTGCTGTGAAGACAGCATGTGCTGCTGCCTTTGGAACTGTGTGGGGCCTGTTTACACGGGGTCTCCTCTAGGCTAATGCAGAAATGTAAACTGGGAGGTGCAGATAGAGTATTTTTTTTAACAGTTCATGAAATTAAGTTATTAAAATAACAAAAATAACAAATTTAATTACTTTAATGCTATATAATTCTAGAAATAGCCTTGTTTTACAAATCTTTAAAGTACATTTTAGAAATCAAAGTTGATATGCTTAGCTATCTTTTGATTATTAAATGCTTTCTTAAAGTCCCACACATTTGGACCATGGCAGCTAATTTTGTAATTTAAGCATTCATATGAACTACCTATGGATATCTATATTAAACTAATTGACAAAAATCTCAGCGTGCCGCCTTTACTTTTCTGGGGTTGTCCTATAAGGGTGTAAACCCTAAGAAATGTCTTTCTGTCCAATACAAGTGAGCACTGATTGCTTTTCTTTCCAGAGTTGGCCTTGAATTATGCCCTTAATTGTTACCATTTTTAGAATGTTTTCTATTTTTAGAACCCCTTATGGTTTTAGTGAGTTTCTCCCAAAATCGCTTGTTTGGGTTTAGGTATAATCATCACTCCAGTGAGTAAGAAGACGAAGAATGTTACTAAGTTTCAAATACTGGAAAAGTGTGAGCTCTCTAATGTTGTCTGCATTACATAGGTACCCACCAATGCCCAAACTTATCAGGCCTAACCTGGTGGTCCAAGGGGTTAATAATAAGTCTTAGCACTACGAAGCTATCTGGCCCACTTGCTCCCCTCAGCACTGTTATTTCAGTCAGTCCACTCCCCACTCTGTCTCTGGTGAATCCTCTCATCCACCACCCCCATGTCTAGCCTACGCCCTAGCTATTATATGCATAAATAAAATTCCAGCTCACCAGAAGAATCAAGACCTGACTTTTAGTGTCCTTTGATATTGGGCAAGCCACTGAGTATTCTTTCTACAAAGTGAGGATTATTCATTTCCCTACATGTGTCACAAATATGTGAACACAAATATATGTAAAGTTGTGAACTATAGCACTTTAAAAGTTTAAACTGTCACTTTGGACTGTTCAAGTTTGTTTCTGCTTTGCTCTGGCTTTCATTTATTTTTTAAAGCCAGCACCCAGTATTTCCAGATGGAATCCCATCCAGGTATTAACCAGGTCCAATCCTGCTTAGCTTACAAGGTCAGGCATATTCAGGGAAGAATGGCCAGAGACTACTTGGCCCTCTTTTTACGCTCCCTTTTTCCCAGTAGGGACCAAACAGATCCTTTCAGAGTTCTCTTAACTCTGCAAAAACTGGTACTGGGTTGGGGTGGAGAGTGGTGGATAATTTCAGGTTCTTTTTCCTTAGTAGCAGAAAAATCTTTCCCTATCAAGTACAGATGTGAAACTCTTCTTTAAATTGAAGTTATACTAAAGAAAATGATTAGTATGTTCGTACAAGGATCTACTGGTTTTGGTGAAATACTGTATTTTTATCACTCCAGATTCTCTTTCCTTAGTGTTCCTGACTTCACTTACTTTGATGATTTGAAAGGATGTAAAAGGAAGGATATATCCATAAGAGTAACACTACAGACTGCTAAAACAATGCCAAGAAAATAATCTGGAATTTGGTAATCCATAAAAGATTTACTTGCATATGGGAGAAAGGATTGCTTTTGTTTTTGCACAAAGGTCATCTCAACTCTACAAACTGGGAATTAATACCAATTTCAGAAAAAAAATCTGAAAGGAAATGTCAACTACAATACTACTTACAATGGATAGCATTAGTTTTTATTTCATCTTTTAAAACTGACTTCTATTTTGTTTTTATACTATCTGGTTTTATTCAAATAGCATAATTTTTATTTAAAAGACACCCAAACCTTTTTAAGTATTTAGTTCCTTGGAAGATATTTGGCAGTCAGATATTACATCTTTCCAGGTTATTTATTGTGTCAACTCTTAACTGCTTTTCTATCATATTGTATACTCAGATGCTTAAATAGCTTCCTACATATTTTTCTTTCATGTAATGGTATCACTTGGCAAGGTTGGAACAAAGCTGGGATTTAAGCCAGTCTTCTACTTCAGGAAAGATGCCTCCATTCTAAGAGCCCAGGTACTGTCCTAATGCTTTAACAAGTAGTTTTCTTCACCTATAAGTGAGCAGTATCTTCTCTCCCGTTTCTAACATGATTGTTCAAAGGGCCATTAGTAAAGTTAAATAAAATGCTCTCAGGTCATTAAATTAAACATAAGCATTTCTCTGTATCTCACTTGAGTATTCTTAAAGGCAACTAGTTTTACCTTTCTCACAGTTAATTTATGAAGAGTCTAAAACAAAACAGCCAAAATCCTCAGTCTATTTCCATCCTTCTGTGCTTCAAGCCAGTTTCAAAAAGACCCAGAAATCTCCGCAAGTTCTACCCTTTTTAAAAATCAAAAGCATTTGGAGATTGTGCACCCTGGGCTTCATCAAGCAAAAAGACACTGATTTAGTAAACTCTGAAAGTTGATCTTTTATTACAATAGTTTTCTAAGTTACCTGAATTTAGGAGGCCCTATTAAGGAAAACTAGCGAGTGAAATTTTGCTCCTAGAAACACAAAGTCTGAGTCAAAAGTTTCTCTTTTGTGGATAGTCATGAAAAGAAGGTGTAGTCCTCTTGGCCCAGTGACCCCGAAATAAAAACTGGGCTAGGTATTAAAACAGATGGGAAGGGCATCCCTGGTGGCGTATGGGTTATGTCTCTGCCCATAACACTGTAGCCTGAGTTTGATCCCCAGCCAGGGAGCTAACCCACAAACTGCCCAGCAGACTTTAGTCTAGCCCCCTGCTCCTCTTCGTATATTTCAGTACAGCTGCCTGCTACCAACTCTTGCAAGCACAAGTCCTCCATGCCCTGCACCTCTGGCCTGCACGCCAGTTCTTGTACACACACATGCACACACCCACACACACTCGGGATGGCTGCATGAAGTCTGGCACCTTTTTAGACACTCTTCTCTAGTACTCTCAATTCCAAACACCATACTCATGGTCTTTCTCAAAAGAACACAGCCTAGAAGTTTATTTCTGCTACTACCTTGCATCTTATTTATCTTATAAAGATAAATTAAAAAAGAAAATCAGTATGTCAAACTGAAAGAGACCCTGAGGGGGCCAAGATCACATTCAGTTTGGGTGTTGCTGAACTTCTCCATTTTGAATATTAGACCAGTCTAATGTGTCAAGGGATCAGACTTGACAAGGTTCACTACTTGAGTGACACTCAGTTTTGGACAGACACCCCCGTGGGCAGAGTAAATGGAAACAGTCTTGCTCCGTGGCTTCATTATTTCTCAAGCCCTGCTGCTTCCTCATCCAGGCAAACCTTACTTATAAACAGTATGTCTTTCATAGTTGTGCATCTAGGGGCAAAATCTAAAAGGGGAAATAATGAGACAGCCCCACTACTTGAGCTCTTTCCCTCCTTTTACAGATAAGGAAGTTGGGTTCACAGAAGGTGGATTTCCTTTTGCAATTTTATCAGCTTGGTGACCAGAGTCCAAAAGTGACATGCCTTAAACGAAAAGCGCGAAACGGGTTTTTCCTTGTTAAGTCCTACCTTACGAAACGGAAAAACAAAAGCCCTCAAACGTGGCCACAGCGGTGTGTGTTGGTTCGCCTTCTCCCAGTTCCCTTGCTAAACTTTATCACTGAAATGCTACTTCCTTAGGGTTGCGGGGGCACAGGCTCTGGGGAGCCCTTTTCGCACCCCGCAGGCGGCGCCAGCCTAGCCAGGTCTTCGGCATCCACACGCTTGAGGATTGTGGCCCCCACGCTCGGGGAAACGATTCCTTTAGGTTAGCGAGTGAATGCCCCAGTATGCGCTGCGTGGAATGAAACAGCTCAGAACCCAAGGCCCTCCGCGCGACTGATGCTGGGGCCGCGCGCCCGGTGAAGACGCCGGAACCGCAGAGCTCCACGACTCGCGAGAGGGCGGGACAGGGATGGGGGCGGAGCTTCCTGGGGGGCGAGGCGGTGTGGGCGGGAGGAGGGGCGGGGCTCCCCTGGGCGCCAGGTGGTGGGCGGGGCGAAAGGCGGAGCTTCCCCGGGCGCCAGAGGTGTGGGCGGGGCGATGGGTGGGCGGAGCTCTCCTAGCTGCCCTCCGCCGTCCTTCTACTGCGCATGGCACGTTGCGTGTCTCCCTCCCAGCAACCGGTCTGGCGGCGGCGCGGCCTTAAACTGAGGAGGCGGAGCTGAGACGGGGTCGGTACTGCTTTCTAACTCCAGGATCAGGTACCGGGCTGGCGGGGCCGCCTGGTGCGCTCCAGGGACCGGTCGCGCCTCTCCCTGAGACGCTGCCGTCTCCTCAGGGCCCGGGCTTCGTCCGAGCGGCCATCCCGGGGCCCCACCTGCCCTGCACAGGCCCCGTTTCACTGGAGTTCTGGATCCCCGCAAAGAGGGGCTGCAGCCCGCGAGCAGACTAGGCTTGGGCCTGGCTGGAGCGGAGTCGCTGGGTGGGAGGGGCTAGCGCCTGCTTTCCCTCCCCCTCCCGATCCCCTTCCCCCATTGCAGGTGAGGAACCTAGGGCCCAGGTGTCATTTTGTTCCGGTCGTGCGAAGAGGCGGCAGATCCTAGTTTGACCGCCCCCCGGCCCCCATCTTTACATCCCGGCCGGACGCGCTGCAGGTCTAGCCCCCTTACGGACAAAGAAGAAGTGCTTATAATCGTCTCAGTGTTTCCCACGAATGTTTAAGCGTCCACTGTAGGTTTGGATCAGAGGTGGGGGCTGGGGGTGAGGAAGTGAGCACGGAGGGAGGGTACTTAAATAAAATTGGCCGAGTTTTCAGGAAAAGGGGAACTAACTTCTCTGCCCAGCTTTTCCTAGGCTCTCCTGACATTCTAACTCGACTTCCTCCAAGAGGGAGAGCCATTCGAGTTGGCCCTTTTCTTATTGAATATCCGTTGAAGTAGAATCCTATTCCATTTTGTATTGTGGCATTAAAACAAATCCTCGTTGTCTCATACATACTTTCTGGAGGCACCCCAAATTGTTTCTTGCCTCTGAGAGTTGAGGAAAACTCCTCTGCTTACCTAACTCAGCCCAGGAGCTTTTGAAGCTAAACTGATGAGTCTCTTCCCTTTTATCCAAGATTCTTAGAGGCATTGTGGCTTAAATGCAGTTTTTTATCGTCGTTATCCTAGACATGGAGGAATTTTAGAACATCAGCCACAAAAAAAAAAAAAAGCAAGAAAGGAAAAATGAATTAAGGTAAATGATTCCTCCTCTCTCTAGCATTTGGTGCTAGTAGCCTCAGCATTGCCAAATCAGACCTTTCAGTCATTGTTATATCTTTGCACGCACAGTCTTGCAATGGGGTGATCAGTCCTCCACCACTCATCTGTGTAATTTTGGGCCTTTACCTCCCTGGGCCTTAATTTCCTGACCTGCAAAATGGGGATGATAATACTTAAGTAGTCCCCCTCCCCCTCAGTTTCAGTTCTGTGGTTTCAGTTACCTGTCTGTGGTCAACTGCTGAGACCACATTCTCAGACCTTTTATTACAATATATTTAAATTGTTTTGTCTTATGTTATAATCTCTTGCTGTGCCTGATTTATAAATTAAACTTTTATCATAGGAATGTATGTATAGAAAAAAACGCTGCGTGTCTATGTGTGTCTGTATGTATACTGTTCTCCATTTCAGGTATCGCTAGTGGTCTTGGAACGAGCCCCCTTCGAAAAGGGAGACTGCCGTATGGTGACAGTCTCTGAAGCATTTAGCACAGATCCTGGCACATAGTAAGTTCATCATAAATACTGCTTCTGTTACTTAATAGATCCAACAGTACCCTTTAGTCCTGGACTCCATAGCCCCTAGGAATGCAACAGTGAGCATTGCATTCCCTGCTCTCCTGGAATCTCTTACTCTAGTGGAAGAGACTGACGAATATAAGAGTGTGGTAGGTTTAGTGTTGAATACTGAGGCTATCCACTGCCACTGCAGCATGGGTTTGGTCCTTGATCAGGGAGCCGACTCAGGGTGCAGCAGACCTCTGCCGTCTCCCTGCTGCTTCCCTCAGCAGTGTATTTCAGTCAATCTGCCTGCTCTGCTCCCCACTCTGTCTCTGGTGAATCCTCTCACTCCACATACCTCTAGCCTACACCCCAGCTCTTGTATGCATAAATAAATAAATCTTTAAAAAAATTAGATCTTGGGGCCTTCCCTGGTGGTGTAACAGGTTAAAGCTTAGCACTATGAAGCTACCGTGGCCACTGCAGCATGAGTTCAATCCTGTTCAGGGAGCTGACCCACAGTGCGCAGCAGACCTCTCCTGACCCGCCTCTGCTGCTCCCCTCAGCGGTGGATTTCAGCACATCTGCCTCTTCTGCTCCCAACTCTTGTCTCTGGACAATCCTCTCATCCCCTGTACCTCTGGCCTGTACCCCAGTTCTATATGCATAAATAAATAAATCTTTAAAAAAAAATTAGATCTTACCCCAGACTTTTTCAGTTAAAATCTATATTTTGTGTATTTTAACAATAGCCCTGTGATTTGCATGCAAAATAAATAAATAACGTTAGATTACCTTAGAGCACTATTTTGTTTACCATTGTTCTGTTCAAAACTTATTACAATGGTTTCCTGCTGCCTGCTGAATAAAATCCATACTTTCTCATGCACTTAAGACTTGTTTGTTTGCACTCACTGGGAGTTCTGTGCATCCTCATGTTAATTGGGGAGTACATAGAGCATGCTGACATATTTACCAGTATACTTGGCCAGTCTTAATGAGTGCCCACTGTTGGCAGGCATTCTTCTGGGGCTGGGAGATATACTGTGAACAAGACAAAGTAAGCGCTAACAGTTAATAACTAATGCTACTTTGTGCTTAAAATTTCCATTTTCTGTTCTCTTGAAATTCAAGCCCCCCCTCTACAGTGAAACTTGCCAAGGCCAGTGATGAATGCCATAAGAAGAGGCTTGTTTCTATTTGTCCATTTCCCAAATCAGCTGAATTAAACGTTTTGAAGGTGGGATTTGGACATGAATAGGCTTTTTATAACTGTACAAGCTAATGTGAAACACATCCTGATTTGGGGACCAGCAGGTGGGAGAGGCAGGCACCTATTTCCATCATTAATGAGGCCATGACAGGCAACTCAGGACTAGGTCTTAGGTCTGTTCATGTGGGCAGTTAGATTAGTTTAATACCGTGTTATGGAATTGACGCTTTCTTTTCCAGTATTTTCCCAGAATATAGTCAATTCGTTCTGCAGATGAAAACACCATAGTGCTATGTTTTAATTCATTGTTACCACCACCAGGCAAGGCCTAGATATAAATTCTTAACTAAAGATATAAACATGAAACAAGATTCAAATGATATGAAAAAAGATACATTTGAAAAATGGCAAAAAGCTCTTAGAAATGAGTCACCAGCATTTACTCAGTACAAGAGTTGTAAAATAAAGTTGAAATCTGGAAAACTGAGAGTTGTAAAATAGGAGCGAAACAAGTATAAAAGTAAGGGGCAGGCCCTCCCGGGTGGCGCAGCACATTAGAGCACAGCACTGAGAAGCTAAAGCCACCTCCGCATGAGTTCGATCCCCGCCTGCCCCGGCGGTGACCCACATGGTGCAACAGACCTCTCCTGACCCACCCGCTGCTCCCCTCAGCAGTGTACTTCGTCAATCGGCCTGTTCTGCTCCCCACTCTGTCTCTGGTGAAGCCTCTCACTGCTCCTGCACCTCCGGCCTGCACCCCAATTCTGTATGTATAAATAAATAAATCTTTAAAAAAAAAATGAGTAAATTTAGAAGTCTACCTTTAACCATTAAGAATTCTGTAGCAAGAGAACAGAAAAGAAGGAGACAAGACTATTTCCCAGAATTGGAAAGTCCAAGTCTCATGCTAAAAAGGCTGTCTAAATGCACCCGGCCTAGAAAGCAGCTAGTCCTGATTGCAGCAAGAGGGTGGAGGGCCTTGGGAAGGCACTCTTGAGGGGAAAATTGGGATGGATGATTTTGAGTGTATGGAAAAACACATTAAGTAGCAGAGATTCTGAAATATTTTTAGAAAGTTAATAATAGAAGCATGGTAAACCAAGTGAAAAGATGAGGCAGTTATGACTATGGGGGTGGTGAGGATGCACAAGGAAGAAGATACAGTTTTCCCTAACTGTTTGCCTCAACTATGAGCCATGCCTGCATAGCCAGAGTAATGTAAATGGACACCATCAATTTAAGCAAAAATTATGCCAGATCTGTGCTAGAGCAGGAAAATGTGCTAGGTAGGAAAATGAGGTGCAGGAAAGGGATGTAGAGAGCCTACTCTTGAGCTCCTGGTCGGAAGTTAGTAGGTAAATGAATAAAATTGATGTCAGGGCTGTATAAACATTTAAGAATGATAAAAAGGGTTTTAGAGCAGACAAAAGAGTTGAAGGTAATTGTTTCCGGGTAGGGGTTAGTTAAAAAAGAAAGCCAGTGGGGCCTCGCTGGTGGTGCAAGGGGTTAAAGGATAGTACTGTGAAGCTGTCCACAGCCACTATAGCATGACTTTGATCCCCAGCCAGGGAACTGACCCACAGGGCACAGCAGACCTCTCCTGTCTCCCGGCTGCTCCCCTCTGCAGTGTGTTTCAGCTGATCTGCGTGTTCTGCTCCCCACTCTGCCTCTGGTGAATCTTCTCATCCCCTCACACCTCTGGCCTCTACCCAGTTCTTTATGCAAAAATAAATAAATCAATAAATCTTAAAAAAAAAAAACCATATAACACATTTTTTTTCTTATATAGAGAGAAATATAAATTTCAAAATATACTTGGTCATAGCATATCCAGGTTTATTGTCACCATAAGCACATAAGTAGAATCTAGCAGTTTATAGGTCTAGCATAGTGCTTTGAATGGTAGACTAATAATATTTTTTTTTCTATAAAAGGAGATTTGACTAATTTGACCTGTTTCTATTTTTCTTTTAGGTTTAAATTTTTGATTGAAGTAGCTCAACACATTAGGAACTCATGTCTTTTCTTGTAAGTAAACCAGAGCGAATTAGGGTGAGTGTTTCTATTCTTCTGGCTTTTCTATTTTTATTTTCTGAAAAGCAGTAAGTTTAGGCAGAAATTGTAGGTGGTTTTTATGTGATGCTCAGATCATGAAGAAGCAAGGCAAGTAAAAAGTAAAGAGGGTGTTGTAGCCCCCACGCCTGAGAAAAGAGCCTGGCCGGCAGAGGCGGTGACTCAGACTGCACCCCGCCTGTTCATGGAGGGGGCCCAGGAGGCTTATTTATGAGTATCTGTCAGACCCCATCAGCGTGAGTGGGTGGCTCATGTAGAAACATAACCTTTAGTGATTTGTCCACTCATCATTTGCTTTCAGTTTGTGTTTTAAAAACCAGTATCAAATTGGAATATTTGGAACTCTCTTTTTCCAAGAACAGCCAGGTTTTTAGTGGAAGACTTTTTAAACATGAACAGCATTATTCCACTTGAAAATTTCACCTGCTAAAGTGACCTCAAGAACAAATAATGGATTTAGCTTCTTTAGTCTTTATGATTTCATAAGAGTATTTTATCTTATTTATTATTTACCATTTATTACTTATTTAATTTCTAAATGCAATGGTAATTATTCTAAACTTTTATAACAATATGTAAGTACTATGAGACATTATAAATGCATCATTTCCTAGAAATTATATTTCATGGTACAAAATAGGATTTTGTTATTTCAAGTTTTTAAATGCCATTTTTTTTAATTTGGAAAAAATTGATATAGAGGGTAAAGAATAATATTTTAGTTGCCATTCACAGTCCATATTGTGTAGTTTCTTTTTTAATGTAAGTGCTTTTTTCATAATTTAGATAATATTATCTTACAATAAGCAATTCATTTCTGAATATTAATTTTTTATATTTATGCATATAAGCACAATTTATATTGGTTAGTTAGGAGTTAAAAAATGGAATCTCTCCTTAATTTGAACTCTGGCCAATGGAAAGAATGTCCCTAGGCGAAACTCTAACACCAGCTCTTAAGTGAAACACAATCTTGATTCTATTGCTTTTAAACATGAGCTTCTTTTCTATTTCAATCTAGCCTGATTCAGGTGAAACCAGACCAGTGATCAGTGTGATGGAAACCCAGTACTCACTTGAAATAGGCCAGTCAAGTGAACCATAGCTTGGTCAGGCTGGGCTGGTAGCTGCACACCTGGTAGAAAAGTACGTGGTGATGACTAGAAACCCGAGTGGGTGGAACTGCGGTTTGCACCTTCCTGCTGTAACCTGACAGATTTGTACAAAACTAGTTTCTTCTGCTTTCTGTTGCGAATTCCCAGTTGGCAGGAGTGGCCCAAACATCTGTAGTAGACAGCTGTTGAATGATAAGATGGAATCAAAGGCTACAAAAGGTTACTTAACGGAAAGACATGCGGTTTTCTCCATCGTTGGGGCCAGTGCCCTGCATTGTTCATCGTGTCAGGTCAGGAATTACTCATCAGATTAGGCCAAGAGGAATAGCTGATTTAAATCCAAGATTCTTTTCAAAACTTTTCCATAGAAATGCATCTTAATTGTACTACACGATTCTGTTTTTGTGGTTTTCTGTTTTTGTCTGTCTGTCTAGTGGCTGATAGCTAATTTGTTGTGTCTTCAAAAAAATACTAATTCTCTTCGGGGTTTTCTTCTTTAGCGGTGGGTCTCGGAAAAGTTCATTGTTGAGGGCTTAAGAGATTTGGAACTATTTGGAGGTAAGTACAGTGTGGCACTTAGCCATCATTTCAGGGTAAATATCGTTACTGTTTTGTTGACAAAATCAATTTACAGAAAGTAGCAAAAGTAGCAATTTTGAGAGCAAGTGTAAACTACAGCTTTTATATTTATTTGGCTTTTTTGAGGCCATGGTTTCCCAAAGACTTGAGGAGTATCTGGCAGTTGCCAGGTACACTGGATAGAAAACCAGTATTTATTTAAGGCACGTGTGTTTCTACTAGATATTTCTCCAGTTGAAATGCATCTTCTTTAAAGGGGGGGACTGTTTCAAGTCTCTATTCTTGAAGATTTTTAAAATAAAATTATAGTCAGGACAGTGGTACCAGTAATATAAAAGTCTGGTTTTCTGATGAAAATAATTGACTCATCTTTTCATGCTAGCAATAATGAGATTTATGAAAGCTAAGGGAAAACTTGCGAGGACAGAATTTTAAATTATTACGAAATCTAGATGTTGATTTCAGAATTGAAGTAGGTTTGCAACTTCAAGATTTCACAGGCCCAGTCATCCCCTTTGGCTATTGTTGTGATGTTACTTCAAGCAAAGAAAATTTCTTTTGTAAAAATCATAGTAATAGGAAAAAGTAGTAGGCGTGGAGCCCATTCTTTGTGTCTGAACCCCAAGACGTGCTCTTCAGGTCTGACAGCTAAAGACACAGGCTGTCAGATGAGTGTGCCGCGTGACAGAGCCCCTGACTGTCACGACTGAAAACGCGATTGTTACCCTCTTGGGTGGGGCCTGTTTGTTCTCCCTCATTTGCTGTGTTTTAGACAAAGGAGAGTTTAGAGAAAGGATGAATTATTTTTGGTTTTGTTATAAAGAATAAAAATTAGTTACACAGTAAGAAAAGATTAGTAGAACAAAAATACTGGTCCACGTTTCATTTTCTTCCCATCACTGGTGGGAATACAGTGGACAGTGGTTTAAAAGTTAGCACTGGCATCAATGGAAGGTCAGTTGGAAGTTTTGTTTATAGTTAGTTACAGTTATTCTTGAATATATATTTCGGGTTTAGTGTCTTGCATGTGGGTTTTCTGACCGTCATGTGACAGTTCCTTAGTCTCTGATCTGAGGAAGGTTTTGTTTATTGTTTGTAGCTTAATGAAGTATATTATCAAGCTTCATGCAACTTGCTTCCCACTGGGTTTGATTTTCTTTACTCTGCTCGCCTGGCTTTTCATCTTTGATAGACTGTTTCAAGCAACTGCTTCTGCCATTTGTGTTACAGAAAACTGATGTGCAAAAAAATAGTTTCTTTTTTTGATAAGTTAAGGTTAATTTACTCTACAGTCAGTCTCTGCCTGTAGTCCAGTTGGGGGCTCTGATTAATAGTTTAAGACATTTGGAGATGTGTAATCATTTTAGTACTTTGCAGTTATAATCTTTAGTTTGATGACTTCTGTTACCTTTATAGAATGAAGGAAGTCAAAAGCATAGATACAGGATTTACCTGGTTTCAGAACAGGTTATTTCAGTTGTCCTTGCTTATGCGTTTTCACCAAGAGCAGCAGAGGGCCAGAAAATCTCTGCCTGTTGGCTGTCAGAGTAGGACGTATCTGAGAGGAAAATTGATAATGGTCCCACATATATATTTTGCTGTATCAAAATGTTTTTTTGCCTTTAAAAAGAACCTCTGTCTTCTAGTCCCTGTGCTGTCTGGGAAATAGCCAACCATCTCTATAACTTTTTAATGAATTTTTTATGCACAGTATAAGATGCTGTTATTAAAAGTAACATTGCACCCATCTAAAAAGTAAATGTGTGAGCAGAATTACACTAGCCAAGTTCTGTTCAGTAAAGATCACCCCTGGGTCAGTGTCCTCGCGAAGCTGTGGATTCCTCCGAGAACCCACCTGTTGCCAGCATTGCTTCCTGTGGCCTGTGTGTGTGTGTGTGTACGCAGCACTGCAGCCACTTTTACTGTAACGATTAGGTTTCTCCTAATAAATGTAGTCCTGAGTGCAGTAATTGCTGTTCTGAATGGTGTGTCTTTGCTCAAAAACCAAATGCCAACAATCCATTTTTCTACTCCAGAGCAGCCTCCGGGTGACACTCGGAGAAAAGTAAGTGACCCTCAGGCTCTTAGCACTGTGGCTGTTGCATGGAGGTGCCTCCTTGTGGAAGTTTGTGTGTGTGGTTGGCTTATCGTTTTGTTTCTGCTGTCGTCATTGAGCTTTCTTTGTAGTGTAATTCTTTTACTTGTGGAGATTCAGGTTTCACCCTGGAAAGATTCTGCCACTCAGTTTGAAAAACAATCTCAGGCGCTTTTCATTTCCCTCTTGAGGATGAAGATCTCCTTCCCTTCCTAGTCCTTCAGTTGCCCCCTCCCGCCCTCCCAAAAAAAGAAAGAAAAGTTTCAGTAGTTCAAAATGGTCAGTGGCTAGTAGAACCAAATCTTCAGCCCTTAGTCTATTAATACTAGATTTCAGTTCACAGAGATAATCGAAATCTCAATCTATATTATAAAGTAGGATCTCCTATTTAAAAATCAAGCCCCAAATTTAAAGGTACAAAAATTTTTTATTGGCAAAAGTTGCAATACTCTTGCCCTATTCTTTTAGTTCATGTTACGTAAGTACACACCACAGGTGTGTGGTGAGCCAAGCTATTTTTATATAAATCGGCATTTTATAATGAGAGAGAATGAGAACCCTTTCTGAGAAGACTTCTTCCTCTTTTCATTTGACAACTACTTGTAGCTTTTGCAGGCCACCCCAACTTTGAATGAAAGATGATATGTTTAGTGGGATTTCTCTTTGAGAAAAGCTTTGATTTTACTTATAATACACTGCTTGCCAAGAGGACCTCTCTGTCAGATGCAAATCTTTTCCAATCTGGAGACCAAAACATTCCCTGTAGGATCAGTTAGGTATTTTTTTCCAGAGTACATTACATAATATTTGTGTTTTCACAGCTGTTGATCTTATTATGGTAAAAGTTATCCTGTGTGAAACCTGTGGAAAGTGGAATGTGTTTATTTGTTAGCATTTCATAGCAGTTGTCTTCATCTGCTTGTATATTTTGTTTTAAACTCTTTAAACAAAGTTATTTTATGGTCATTTCTGGATAACTGTAGCTTATGTATTTTTCAAATGTTTCAAAATGAATAAAATGTTTTTACAGTGGGGGAGCCTAAGAAAAGCTTTTGATGGAATTGCTTTTTTAGGTTATTTGAGATTATATATTACGCTAATAAAACCATGCCATGCTGTGTTTAAAGAGAACAGGCTATTTCATCTTTTTTATCTGAGTTGACCTTTCTAGCTCAAAAGCAGCCTAAGCTAACCTGCCTTTTTTGTGGTGACATCAGATCAGACCTTTTCCTTTTAAAATACTGCCTTTGTGTCCTGGGTAGTTGGGTGGATGATTGGTTGGTGTTCCCCAGTAAGTTTGGTTTCCCTTGGAGCTCAAACCTAGGAAACACCCACAAAGTGGAAGCTTCTGCCTTAGGATGGTGTCTGGTGAGTGGGGGACAGCGGGAGACGCCCACACGGCCACCGGACTACTTCTCTGCTTGCAGTTCAGTTGCCCATGAGCTCAAATTCCCAGTCACTTAATTTTCTGATTAAATTTTTAGCTTCTGTGAATGGTTTTCTGTAGTCAGGAGGCAGAGCGGGAATACTTGCGAGTTACACTCAGTAATGAATGACTCATTCCCTTCCTGGCCTAGGCCCAACAGGAATGTGTCCTTAGTATGTATGTAGCCTCGTAGCCACTGTGCTTCTATGCACTAGCAAGGAAGAGGGAGAGAGGTAATTTCAGGAAGTATTTACCTATAGTATTTAAAGTACAAGTAATAAATATTTTAATCATAAGATGCAGTTAACCATCATAGTTTCTTGTTCAGAAGTGAGAAATGTTGGTACTCTGAAGCGTTCACAGGAGAGACCTTCAAAACGAAGTAGTTCTCGATTTGCTTCTCTACCTTCTTGAAAATGCAACACTTTCTCATATGCAGGTGCAAATCTGATCTGTAAAGTGCCTAGTGATGGCACCTAGACTTGTATGCGAGCTGGCATTTTCGGCAAATGTCATTATGTTGAGCCCGTCTCCAGGGGAAGGAGCAGGTACTTACTCTCCTCTTCAGCTTATGGAAATGACAAGATCCTGGGCAAGACAACCTCAGTTCAAAATTTACTTAGATTTTTTTTTTAAGTGAGTGTGAGCACAGCTGCAGGCGCGGCACGTACACCAGTGCCCACGCAGAGAGCCCTGCCCTCATGGAGCGTGCATTCTCGGGGGAGACAGGCAGTAGGTAAGCGAACAGCTGTAGGAAAGGGAAGCAAGGTGGCTCAATGAAGTGATGCAGGGTCGACCTGACATTCTGTCAGAGTCCGAGACGACACTGCGGTTGGGATTTCAGTGAAGAGGCTGCAAGAGAAAACGGATGGATAGCAAGGGAAGGAGTGGGCGGGGTCTTCCAGTGAAGGGCTTTCCTCACTCCTTCATTTATTCACGCTGTAAGTGGTGATTTCTAGTCCTAGATTTCCTAAGATTAGGAAGTGCTTGTTTGTGTGGGTCAAGTGGAGCAAGTCTGGGGAGCGCGGTATGAGATGGATGACGTCATAGAAGCAGCAGGATGAGTCATAGGCTGGTTGCAGCGCAAACGGTCCCCTGGGATTGTTTTCAACTAGTGACGTTGACTTTATTGAAGGGTAGATTAGTGTTCTTATTTTCAAGATTATTTATACATACAAGAACTAGGATACAGGCTGGAGGTGCAGGAGATGGGTGAGAGGAGTCATCAGATAGAGTGGAGATCAGAACAGGCGGATCTACTGCTGAGGGGAGCAGCAGGGAGATGAGAGAGGTCTGCCGCGCCGTGTGGGTCACTCCCTGGCCAGGCATCAAACTTGTGCTGCACTGGCTGCAGATAGGTTCATAGTGCTGAGACTTAACCCCTTGCACTACTAGGGAGAGCCCAAAAAGTCCTGGTTGAGAAAACAGGATTTGCAGAACAAAAATTATGCAGGGACTTTGAGGTATAGGGCTAAGAAATGGGACTTCTCACGACAGGCTGTTTGCAGCTTATAAATTCTAAATGAGGAGTCATTTTCCAGAGTGCTTTGTTTTGTCCCTTGATTATGTATCTCATGACCAATAAATGATCCTGGAATTTGTTTTCAGAGTATTTGAAAGCACCAAGGCTAAGAAATAAAATCAATCCCACTTTATAACTTTTGATGGAACTTTCCGTGGGATTCTTTTTCTTCCATTTTCTCTGCTGCGTTTGTTGACCAGGAGAGCAAACATAATAGGTGGCAAAAGAAGAAGAATAGAATTGACACTGACTGAGTAACTGCTATACACTGGGCAGCACTAAGCTCTTTGCATATTTCCTGTCACTTAACAGTCGCAGTGATCCCGCGAGTGGGAGATACTCCCCTCTCCCGGGTAGATGGGCTTCCTCTGGGTCACAGAGTAAGTAGTATATCTGAGCTCAAGTTTTGTCTCTGTCTGGCCCCTGCACCTGTCGTCTGTGTTACATTACCTGTTTCAATTAAAGTAGCTTTCCCAAATTACCTTTCCAACACTGAGTAGAAATTGGACACAAAAAATTTTCCTCTACAAGTATCTTTGGGAAGTTTCCTTACCATGAATTTCTCAAAGCCTTAATGTCCAAGCATGCCAGTGGTTCCCAAAGAGAGCATATGCTACATTTTCTAACTAATGAATTGGACATTTAAATGTTTTTTACATATTAGCTGCCAACATCAACGTTCCATGGCAATACTTTGGGGAAATCCTGAGTAGCAAAATGGACAAGAGACAAAAAAAAAATCCATGTTCACCCAGAAGTATACCAAAGTGGCCAATAAGTACATGAACAGATGCTTGGCTTTTTAGTAATCAGAGAAGTACAAATCATGCCTAGAATGAGATTGTCAAGTATGAGGTCCAAATAGAGCAAGAACTGGGGAAAAGATGGATTATGCAAACATTGTTGGCAGGAGTGTAAGTTGGTATAACCATCTTGGAAAATACTGTGGCATTGTCTCACAGAGTTAATTGTTCATAGACCTTCTGACCTAGCACGTCCAGCCTTCCAGTATGTGCAGCCGGTAGCGTAGTTTGTAGTAGCTGGAGCACAACCCAAAAAGCCCTCAGCGTCGGAATGGATAAGTTGAGGGACAGGGTGAATATTCACTGCAATATGGCTGAACCCCAAGCATGTGAATGTTGATTATCTTGGAGTTGATTGCCAACAGGGCTGTTTTGCTTGTTCATATTGTCAGAAGTGGTGAGTGACGCAGAACCCCACTTGGTCCCTTGTCAGCTTCTGAAACCAGATACACTTGGAATGTCAGACCCCCAGCCAGGCGATGGCACACTTGTTAGAACTTTCCCAGTTCACACTCTCTTGGCTAGTGCTGTGTCAGAAGCTTTTCCTGAGTTCAAGACTAGAGGGCAGGTTTGTGAAGCATCGAAGCTGTGAGCCCGCCTAAGGTTTTTCCATTTCAATTAGACGCACATCTGAAAAGGATCCAAGGGGGGAAAAATGCTTGCAGTCCCTGAATCGTACACATGAATTTAGGTCTGGAAGAGGAAACTGGGCCTCGCAAGGAGAAGAAGTTGTTGGTCCCAAGACTGGTCTGGAAAGTTCCCTGTGCACTTTCCTTCAGGACCTCAAAAGCCACAGGTGTCACACTGGTACCCCAGATACCTGGGGCCCAGCTTCACTTGCAGCTTGAGTGGGCAGGAAGGAAGGAGCAGGTGGCCCTGCCAGGGGGCTGGAGCTGACGGGCCAGTGTATAACTGTTTTCTTGGTCACTTGGAAATACTAGGGAAACACTAGTCTGGACTCCTGGGAGTTTCTTATGGCCACATTTTCCTTCTAGCAAGAGTCAGGACCATAAAGATAAGATCCTAATGCAGCAGGAAAATCAAGAGAACACCCCTCTCCACCTCCCTTTCCTGAACGTACCTTCCTTCGGACATCCTTTCCCTTAGAACCTTGTCATTTTTAGCAAATGAGCCAGTTGCTGGAAGGGACACGCAGATCAGCAGTTGGCTGGAACTGGCCCTTGGTCATCACCCCTCGTGAGGCAGCTGTCACTCACTCGCTCTGTATTAGTGCTGATTAGGCCTGATCCCTATATCTGAGATTTCCTTTACGCTTTACGTCAGGTCCTGCTGGTGCGACTTTGCCCCAGAGTCTGAATATGGTTTGCCCGGAGCCTATCTCCCGTGGGTCTGAATTACCACCCCACTCCCGCTCTACCCCCAGTTTTCTCTTACTAACCTATTTTTATTTTTCTTTAGACCAATGAGGCGAGCTCAGAGTCGATTGCATCCTTCTCTAAGCAGGAGATCATGAGTAGCTTTCTGCCAGAGGGAGGGTGTTATGAGCTACTCACCATTATAGGTAATGTGCAGGGACTGTGGCCCTGCCGCGCCCAGGGGCAGCTGCAGCCTCCTCAGTGTCCCTGGTGTGTGTGTGCCGGAGGCTGTCAGCCGGTGGGCGGTACAGGGCCACCACATGGGCTTCTGGGGTCCCCTGGGGCTTTCTTCTGCCAAGTATGAGAAAAGAGACCCTGTCACCAGGAGGGGTATCTCCTGCCATTTTTTTCTTTATGACTGCTTACTTCCAGTGTCCCAGGCCACGGTCAGGATGGTTGGCTGAGAAACTGGTAGGAGAAGAATCCAGTTGAGTCAGCCATAGAAGTAACGATAGCAAAAGTTTCTACTGGAATGTTCCTGTCAGATCCAGTCCCTCTAGGATGAAAACTTGTCACTGTCCACCTCTCTAATGGCATCCCTCTTGTTTCTAGGAAAAGGGTTTGAGGACCTAATGACAGTGAATCTAGCCAGGTACAAACCAACGGGAGAGTGTGTGACTGTGAGGAGGGTCAACCTGGAAGCTTGTTCCAACGAGATGGTGACATTCCTGCAGGTAATCACGGGCGGAGGCTCTCGGCACCAGTAGGCTGCAGTGCGGCTCTGACTTCTGTCTCCTGGAAGTAGCTGGCAGGAAATGAAAGTAGACAGAAGGAGAAGTCACAGACACTGGCAGTGCACGTCGTGGGCCCTTGGCGCTAAGGCCTCTGTGATCTGCTCAGACTAGTCATAGCCCCTTCTCCACACGGGCCGCTGCGCTCGTTTACTGACTGACTTATGACTTAGAGAGGCTGAACCATTTGCCCACGGTCATAGGCAAGGCTCAGATCCAGCGGTCTGATGAGGGCTTGCCCTGGGGCCTCCTTAGAGGTCGGGCCAGGGCCAGGAAGGGTGTCGGTGGAGTTATCTGCAGCCCTCCCTCTTCGCTTACAGTGTCTTTCCGAACTCCAGCTCATCGATGGCGCTCTGCATGCCAGTGCTTGTGTCAGGGCGGTTCTGTGCCCCAGGGTAGCGCAGGAAGCCCCAGCGCCCTTCTCTGGGAGAAAGCCATAGACAGACTGAGGTGAGACGCCTCAGGTCAGCCCTCCGGAGACGCTGGGGTTCCTGTAATTCTTTTGTCCACGTTTTTCACGTCTTTTGCCCACACGGACTTTGGAGTCCCGTAGGTCAGGGGCCCCTCTTGGCCGGGGTAGGGCCCAGACAGGGCTGCTGGAGAGGGAGCGGCCGCATCCAGCTGTCGGTCTCCAGCCCGTTGGACCGTGCTGCTCTCGGCTCGGCCTTAAAAGGGGAATTCTGTGCGCTGACCTTGAAGTTGAGCTAAACTGGCAACTCTGTGGGTGTTCAGCCGAGTTTGTTTCAGCGTCTCTGGGGCGAGACGCTGGGCCCTCCGCTGTCGTCAGCAGTTCTCGCGGTTGCCGGGGCACTGTGACTTGAGGTTCGAGATTGCCGGCCGGGCCGCTGCCGTGGCAGAAGCGGGCAGAGCGGGGCTGGCTCCCCTCTCGGCTGGCCGCTGGGGCCGGCAGCTGGGGCCGGCAGCTCTGCCAGACCTGGGTGCGCTGGGCGAGCTCCCACAGGCACTCGGTTCCGCCTTCGTGTCCCTCTGGGGCGCCTTGAGCTGACGCCAGCTTGCCATTGCTTTCAGGGGGAGCTTCACGTCTCTAAGCTCTTCAACCATCCCAACATCCTGCCATATCGAGCCACCTTTATTGCAGACAATGAGCTGTGGGTTGTCACATCATTCGTGGCGTATGGTGAGTGGGGAAGGGTCCTGGTAGACGGGTTCCGAGAGCGCTGGTCCGCTGGCTACGGCTGCTTCCCTTCTCTCACCCTGCCCTGCCTTCCCACATTCTTTTCCTCAGGTTCTGCAAAGGATCTCATCTGCACTCACTTCATGGATGGCATGAGTGAGCTGGCGATCGCTTACATCCTGCAGGGGGTGCTCAGGGCCCTTGACTACATCCACCACATGGGCTACGTGCACAGGTGCGTCCTCGGCCACGTCATCATCCTTCTCTGGCAGGTGTCTGCGTCTGTGGTTGAAGTCTGGGAAGCCAGAGTTTAAAATCATGCCTTGGGTCCTGCCCTGCCCCTGCCTTACCAGACTGAACAGTTACCCTGTTGGTGCAGACGCTGTTAGCCTCTACCCAGCAGCTTGGTTCTGAGACCAGTGAGAGCAGCAGCCGACAGGGCCCTGCCTACCCACGGCCCCAGCTTCCTTGGGACAGACACCCAGACTGGTGCGTATGTGCCCCAGAGTCTGCCCTGTGCTGAGAGGCTGAGGAGAAGACAGATTGACTCAGGTAGGGTAGATGAGCAGAGCGGGCCCCTATCTAACACCACACACAGGAGCGCTCCAGCGAATGGGAGGCTAAACAGCAGACGTAAAACCTCACACCTAAGTAGAAGTACTTTTATGACCTGAGTTCTAGAATTCCTGAGTGCTTTAGAAGAACAAAACATAAGTCAAAAAAAAAAAAAAAACAAGGATGGATTTCATTGTCTCAAGATGGAAAAGATTTCAGCAGAGGGCATGAGCAGAGTTAGGGAATGGGCGAGTGTGTACGGGATACTAAGTTCGTCTAGAGCACACAGGAGATGAGTGACAAGGAAATCTGGTGACTCAACAAGGAAAGGAACAGGCCTTCCCTTAGGGCTGCACTGAGGCGTCCACAGCCCTTGCAGCACGAGTTCGATCCCTGACCAGGGAGCTGAGTCCCGTCACAGCAGCCCGCTCCTGCCTCCCTGCTGCCCCCTCAGCAGCGTTTCACTCAGTCCACCTGTCCTGCTCCCACTCTGGCTCTGGTGAATCCTCTCACTCCCTGCACCTCTGGCCTGTACCAGTTCCTATGTACATAAATAAAAAAAACAAACAAATAAAGCAACAGAAAGTGAGCAAAGATATGAAGTGTTTAAGGGAGGAAACCTGAAGACTCGTAGACAGCTGAAAGAACAAAGCGAGCAACAGCCAGAAAGGCAAACAAGCACGAGAGGATGTCGCCTTCCACACCTGAGCCTGGCAGCGGTGGAGCGAGGCCGGTGCAGGGAGGGGTGATGCTTCCTGTCTGGTTCGCGGGAGAAGGCCCGCCACAGCCCCCCACAGCCCCCCACAGCCGGGGTGTTTCCCAGAGACCCGCGCGGCCCCGTCGGGAGATGCTGTGCCGCCTGGCTCACGTTCGCGGCCTTTAGCAGCCAAGGGAGCCTCCCTCCCTGGGCGAGCCCTGAGTGCCGGTGCTGGCCCGCGAGCAGGGGTGCACAGCGGCGCACAGCGCCGGGCAGGAGGTGCGGCTGCGCCTCAGGCGCCTGCGAACAGTGAGCAGCAGCAGGTGGTTGGAGCTTGGGCTTGTGGGCTTGAAAGCAACGGAGTACGAGTGCTTTTGTTTTGATTTTTAAAAAAGATTTATTTCTGCGTACAAGAACTGGGGTGCAGGCCAGAGGTGTGGGGGGTGAGAAGATACACCAGAGACAGTGGGGAGCAGAACAGGCGGGTGGACCAGTTCACTGCCGAGGGGAGCAGCGGGGAGACAGGAGAGGTCTGCCGCGCCCTGGGGGTCACTCCTTGGCCTGGGATTGAGCTTGTGCTGCTGTGGCTGCGGACAGCTTCACGGTGCTGAGACCTAACCCCTGGCACCACCAGGGAGGCCCCACGAGTATTTTTAAATCTGGGGGTTTATAAATGAGGTGCTGTTTTCTGTTTTTGAATGTGTTTAATCGGGCTCCGAAGTCCGTCTGCACACAGCGCTGCACATGGCTGCATCCAGTGCGCGAAGACCAGATTTGCGTGTGAGGGGCTGCTGCTGCCTCCTGACACTTTTCTCCTGATCCCAGGAGCGTCAAAGCCAGCCACATTCTGATCTCTGCCGACGGCAAGGTCTACTTGTCCGGTCTGCGCAGCAACCTGAGCATGATCAGCCACGGGCAGCGGCAGCGTGTGGTCCATGACTTCCCCAAGCACAGCGTCAGGGTTCTGCCTTGGCTCAGCCCGGAAGTCCTCCAGCAGGTCCGGTTCCTCCCGCCGACTTCAGGTTTTCCAAGGGCGCCTTCAGGAATTTCCTGGGATGGGGGTGCCCTCTGCTTCTGAGGGCACTGAGGGTTCTTGAAGAGGGGTTCCCTGCTGGCAAGCAGACCTGGAGGCCCTCGGCGCGCGCGTTACCTGCCGCTGCAGTGGTGTAGTTTCCCCTTTGAGGGTCCCAGGCTGAAACCTTCAGAGACCTTCCCGTTGAGGGGGAGGGGGAGCATTTGGGGAACAGTTTGCCCTAGCGCAGGGGCACCCTGAGGCTGCAATCTGCTGGCCGAACACTCGTTCCTTTCGAACCGCAGCTGCTCTCCAGTAAGAAAGGCTGGGGACCTCTTTGCTGATTAGGGGACAGGCATTCTTTTCCTGGCCTCCCATTTTGCTCGACCCCTTCTAAGAAGACCACCAGGGCAGCAAATGGAATGACCTTTGCCTTTTCTTTCCTGACGTAGAATCTTCAGGGTTATGACGCCAAATCGGACATCTACAGTGTGGGAATCACAGCCTGTGAACTGGCCAACGGCCACGTCCCCTTTAAGGACATGCCTGCCACCCAGGTGAGCCCGCAGCCCTGTGTAGTCCTGTCCGTCTGCTGTCCATCCGCACTCAGGAAGCAGGCAGGCCAGGGCACTGGTGGGCAGGGGTGGGGGCATTGTGCCATACTCGCGTCTGTGACAAGGATGTGGCAGCGGCACCCTGCGGGCTGGCCCAGGAGCAGACCTGCTGCTCTCGGCCGTTGCCGGGCCTGGAGCAGGCAGACAGGTGAGGCCAGTGTACCATGTGTCCATTTAAAGTTAAATCAGGCTAACAAGTCTGTATACATAATGTCTGTAAACATTATCCCCTCCTACCTTGACAGTATGCCTGGAAGGTCACTTTCCTATGTAGAATTCTCAGCCACATTCTGGCCAGTACCTTGGGAACGTCCGGCCTGCAAGCTCAACTACTATTCACACCCGTCCGAGTGACAGCTCCTTAGCCACTCCTAGATGGTCCCGGCCTGGGGTTGTCCGCAGTGACAGACCCAAGGGCAGAAGGCCTCCTCAGGCCCAGGCAGTAGACTTGGGTTGTTTGTACAAAGATCACCACGATCCGGAGCCTGGGAGGACAGGGAGGCCAGGGTGGGGGTGCTGGGTGAGCTGCTCCCTGAGCCCACAGGTGGTTTGCTCCGTGAGCAAGGGGTTAGCTAGAGAATGGCCAAGGGGAGCCCTGTAAAGAAGGTGGCCCAGGGAGGCTTCTGGGAGGAGGTGACGCTTGAGTCTTGAAAGCAAATAGGAATTGGTGGTGTGAAAAATGGAAACCAAAGAAGACTCAAGCAGAAGGCTCGACATGTGCAGACTCGGAGGCAAGACAGAGCAGGGCCTGGGGACAGCCAGTAGTGGTGACGTTTAGGTGCTTTGGGGGCTGTTGGGTGGTCGGACTGGAGGGTCAGGAAGGTTTCATGTGCCATGTTGGGGCTTTGGGCTCCTGTCCCAGAGCATGCTGGGACCTGGACACAGCGTCAGGTGTGGTTTAGCAAGATCACTCCAGCAGATGGGTCCGGTCTGGCAGACCAGGTAGCAGGTGTGGAAACCCCAGTCAGGAACCGAGAAAACCCAAGTGAGATAGTAACTGAAGGCTGCTCAGGAAGGAGTTCAGAGACTGTTTCAGGTCTAGAAACATCTCTGTCCATCAGAACTTCTTGTGACGGTGCAGTGATCTGTGTGCACTGGGCGGTATGGGAGAGAGTGAAGAGTGACTTTATCCCCGGCCAGTCTCAGCACATCGGGGCGGCCTCTGTCACGTGCGACGCCGCCCGCGGAGCTTCGGGCTGTGGCGCGGCCAGCTCGTGGCCTTCACGAGGACAGCGGTCTCCAGAGTGGGGCTGGTGTCACGTGCGCTGAGTCTGAGGGCTTGGGGACGGCCGCCGAGCTTGTCCTGCCCAGGGGACACGCTCCCCTCAGCCTGCTGCAGCACTACCAGGGCGGGGTGCCGTGCGACAGACCCGTGGCCCCGTCGGCGTGGCGGGGGGTTGGGCTGCGAGGACAATGACCAGCTGCTGCCGTCACCCCAGGGTGAGGCGCCAGTTAAAGGGGAAGCAGCCCCCCACCCCACCCCAGGCCAGCGCAGTGGGGGCACGGGCCACGCTCTTGCATTGCTCCCCTCTGCCCTGGGCGTGCAGGCCAGCCGGCGCCAGCCTTGCTTTGGAGAACTCGCACCACCCCGCTTCTGTCTTTACTCCCCCCCAGTTACATCTGGATGTTGGGGAAAGCGGGTTTGTAAAGAAACTGGGGGCCTCCGGGGGCCTCCAACCCAGTCCCGGCTCTGTCCCCCAGATGCTGCTGGAGAAGCTAAACGGCACGGTGCCCTGCCTGCTGGACACCAGCACCATCCCCGCCGAGGAGCTGACCATGAGCACCTCGCGCTCAGCGGCCAACTCTGGCCTGGGCGAGAGCCTGGCCCCCGGCACCCCCAGGACCTCCAACGGCGACTCGCCTTCCCACCCCTATCACCGCACCTTTTCTCCCCACTTCCACCACTTTGTGGAGCAGTGCCTTCAGCGCAACCCTGACATCAGGTATTTCTGCAGGAGGTGGCCCCTGGAGAGAAAAGGGGGTTCAGGTTCAGGGCAGAATTTGAGGGGGTGCCTGGACAAGGAGGGGTCCCCAAAGTCTGGAGTCCCCATGGCGAGAAGCGTGAGCACGGGGGTTGCTAGGAAGCCGGCCTGGGTGGCCCTGGCTGTTCTTTCTTGGCGAGCTGAGGAAAGAAGGGGGCACTTGAGGGTAAACTGCAACTGAGCAAGGGTCACGGGTCTCTCCTCCCCTCCCCAGACCAAGTGCCAGCGCCCTCCTGAACCATTCTTTCTTCAAGCAGGTACAGTAGCGCCTCTCTTTAGCTCCGGGGTGGGGCTTGGGTGTCCGCATCTGTGGTTCTAACTGCCCTCAGTTTCTCGGGGTCTCCGGGTGGTCCCTCTCCCCGCCGAGTTAGAGGGGGGCTGTATTTCCGAAGTCCTCAGTGGCCTTGCTTTTGACTCTCTGGCGACTCGGCCCCAGCGGTCTGCTGTCACTGGGCTGCTGTCACTCCTGCCCTGCACTGCCTGGCACCCAGAACAGCAGGAACCCCAGCTCGCTGTCTCCCCCAGATCAAGCGACGTGCCTCAGAGGCTTTGCCTGAGTTACTTCGTCCTGTCACCCCCATCACCAATTTTGAGGGCAGCCAGACTCAGGACCACAGTGGAATCTTTGGCCTGGTAACAAACCTGGAGGAGCTGGAGGTGGACGACTGGGAGTTCTGAGCCTCCGAAGAATGTGACCTCAGCCCAGGAGCGTGGGCTCCAGGGCCCTTCCTGAGGGCTGGCCACGCCCCACCGCCCTGAGGGCAGTGGGCAGGAGGGACATTTCTGCCAGCCTGCTGCGTCCTGACTGGGAAGGAGATTCCTGGAGAGAGACTCTTACTGCTCCAGGGCATCTGAGGCAGGAGGGACTCCAGCCGCCAGGGATCCGGAGAGGCTGGAAAGCCGACTTCCCAGCCCGTGAGGAAGAGATGCTCTTCTGGCCCAGCAGCTCAGGTCCAAGCCCAGGGTTTGGCTGATCGGCCCAGGGAACTGTGCAGCCCCTCGTGCCACCCTCGCTGTCCTGCCAGCCTCATGCCATTCGTTTCTTCTCAGATCCTGGAGGGCCACGGAGGGGCAAGCAATAAGCACCCAGTGCCCTCCCTCACGCTGCGGCTCCCGGGAGCGAAGGGGAGTGTAGTTTTCTGTTACGCTCCAGTCAGGGCCGTCCTCTTCCTTTGTCACTGGACCCCGACACCTAGGCCCATCCCGTAGTTCTCCTGGGCAGCTTGTCCTTCCCCACCCAGAGCCCTGCCACTTCCTCTGGTGCTTTCTCTGCTGGCCAGGCCGTCTTGCCTGGCCTGAGGGCTGTGTCTTAGGCTGTTAGTTTCATTGCCAGAACAAATTAAAGTTCCCGTGAGTGCACTGGAGAGTGGCGTTGCTTGCTGAGCTGGGGCGACTGCTCCCTGGGTGGGCCCACGGCCGGGGAGGCACAGCGGAGACCTCCGTGGGAGACTACCTCACGCAGCGGTGTCTCTGAAAACCTCTCTAAATTTCGCAAACTTAATTTTAGTCTGTGGCCATCAAACTGCTTTGAGGGCGTCGGGCACATGCCTGCCTGCGGCAGGAGGCGGTGTGCCTGTTTTGTAGCATGAGTGGTGGCCGTGTCTCTACTGTTGAGAATTAGGCGCAGCAAGCAGACGGCTCTGGTCGGCCTGTCTCTGGGCCCAGGAAGGGGTGAGTCTAACCCCACTGCGCCCTGGGGCTTGTGGGCCCCCTCAGCTGGAGAGGAAGTGCCCCTCCACGCCCTGAGCTGAACCACCCAACACTCCCCCAGAACATTCAGAAACCTCCTCTGGCACATGAGGAAGGACTGAGGCCGGGAGGCCCGGTCAGGTTTGTTTCCAGCCTGCTTCATTTTTTTTCTTTAAACCTCAAGTTCCTGTTTCTTGACGCCCTGTCAGCGCAGCCCCCTGGTTTTGCTCTCAGGCAGCCCTGGCTGTGATTCTGTGGAAGCCCCTTGCAGCTGTGGGGGGAGCCCAGCAGTGGCCCTTGGTGCCTGGAGGGCTGTTTCCTGCCTCCGGCCCCCTTCAGCCTGTAACTTGCCTGGAAAGATGCACTCAGCACTGGGGACGTTTCTCACAGCCGGCAGTTCTCTCTCTAGAGGAATTGGAGTTGAGGGAAATGAAGCTCGAGTGGGGGCTGGAGAAGCCTGCTGCCTGGCCCGCTGGGGTGCAGGCGGAGGCTGGGCTGTCCTGTCCCTGACAAGTGTGTGGGCCGCTCTGCCTTCTATTCCTGCCGCAGTGTGGGAACAGCTATGTTTAGGGCTGTGCCTGCTGAAACAGCCTCCACCCCGAAGCAGCCCCCCAAGGCGGCCCCTGCCCCCCAGCAGAGGTCCGCCTGGGAAGCCGGCCTGGTGTTGCTTAGGCCTCTCAGACCTGCAGCCAGAGGCCTCACGGCCACAGGGGCTGGAGCCCTGCCCCTGCCTCCCTCCCGAGTTGGCTTCTCTGCACAACAGGACCCCCGGAGTGCCCAATCCCACAGAATTCTACCAAAGCATTGGGCCGGCAGCCCTCCCTGGGAGGGCGGGCGCCAAGAAGCCCGGGGAGCAGCTGCCCGGCCATCTGAGGGGAGGTGCTTCCGCCCCATCCCCTGAGTGCACCCCAGCCCGCGGGGCTTGGAACTCGGGGACCGGCCGGGCCGCCCGTGGCCCTCGGCCGAGCCTC